GGTGGCAGTGGTGTGCTCGGAGCCAGCAGGGAAGGGACACCTTTGCATGTGGGCCGGTTATTCACAAGAAGCAGTGGGTTTGCTCCTGTGGCACCTGGGCCGCGTGGCCTGAGCAGGCTTCACTGAAATGTGGCGCGTTCCCACTCCGTTCTCAGTCCGTCAAGTGTGGAAAACTGCTACCTTTCCAGCAGCTGGAGCTCAGGAAACCCTCACCTGGATTTTGACAGCCAGTTCTTTCCTCTGATGGACACAGTGTCTCACTGTGCCCTTCGGTCACACTCCCCGTAGGGGCAGGGCCCACCGGCACTCCGCTTTGGTCCTTCGCCCCAGCTCAGCCTGCTTTCAGGAACCCCGACTAGCCTGTCTCCCATCCAGCTCCTCACTTTCCCTCCCCAGTCCCCATTCCTACGAAATGTTGACCTTTCCCTGATAGAGAACCATCTGGAATCGGAAATCTATGCCTGACACTCTGCTATTATAAAATCGCTATGGCAGATCCTAAAAGCTAGGCCCCCAGTGGGGTCAGGCCTGGTGGAGGCTGCCCACCGCCATCCAAGGCAACTTCCCATTTCTGTCTTAAGCCAGTAAGACTGCCAGCCCTGAGCAGGCTCACGGACAGTCCCACCAATCAGAGGGCCCCTCAGTCAACCTACCAGCTGATCCCCCCCAGCTCATGCCAGACCAGGTTCCTAGGTTCCCATGGCCTTTGGGTCGGTCAGCTCCTCAACCACCTGGCCACACTCACAGGGTCTCTGGAGTCCGGCGGCTGATCGGCGGTGGAGTCTCAGCTCCGAACTCCACTCACCCAAGCGACGGGGAGTTTTCAGAGTCTCCTGCCCAGTCACTACAGAAAAATAAAAGTAGGCAAAGACACACATCAGAGTCAAATATATATATTTTTCCTCCTGGTCCTAATATACCTTTAAATTAAGGTGATTTCTACTCAAGGCTAAGGGTCCTTTCAGTGGGGGAGGGGGCCATTTTGTCCTCCAGAGGACATTTGGATACGTCTGGAGACATTTTTTGTTGTCGCGACCAAGGGGTGCTACTGGCATCTAGTGGGTAGATGCCAAGGATGCTGCTGAGCACCCTACAGTACCCAGGACAGTCCCCACAGCAAAGCATCCGGCCCCAAATGTCAACAGGCAGAGGCTAAGAAAACGCCATCTAAATTAGATAAGCTGACCACCTCCTCCTCTTCCCTCTGGGGTGCGCTCCCCGTCCCTTCCGAGCCCTGTGCTGTCACCAAACACATCTCTCCCTTTGAGGGTATTATCTGATCCAGCGACTTAATATTCTAAGACGGATGACTGTCACTTTGCATTTGGGGTCATTCCCTTTCTTCTCAACTTCAGCCCCACCCTCCTAAATAAGCTGTAAAAATCTCCATCCAGACTGTGCATCCTTCCCTCACCTCTGCCTGGTCCAACGCCAAATGGCTCTGCCCCCGTGCCAGCTCTTCCCAGGCCCTCCCTGACTTCCCTTCTCCACTCATCCCATCATCTAGGTGCCAAACATGGGCTCTGCCACTACTGGTGCCATTGTCGCACATAGCTGCTGGAGGGTCCTCTGGGCTCCCTCAGGCCCCTTCCTTCAGCCTTGCTGCTTCCTTCACTAGGTGTGGGTCTCCTTCCCCTAAAGGTCATGACCAGACAGGCCTGTATCCTCTACCATCCCCCACACTGCCTCCAACTTTCCAAAAAAAACTAGCCTCAAATCCTCACCCGCAGGACAACAAAACCATCAACACCTCCATGGTTTCCTTGGAGACCTCTTTTAACTTTTCCTGCCTTCTCTCCAACTGCTCCCCCAAGATCCACAGGGCCGCCTCCTCTCTCCACCCTGCACCCAGCCCTAAGCCGTGCTTCCTGCCATCTTTGTTCTTGGTCAGCCAACACCTCCCATCCCCCACCTTCTATTCATAGTCAAGCAAGCCCATTTGAAATGCCATTATCTCCACCCAGACTTTCAGGACCCCCCAACTGAGGGTCTTTTCTCAGTTTCTATGCTGCTTGCTTACTCTTTAGAATGGAGGGTGGGTTATCTGCCCAATCCTTTTCCCCTCAAGCCATGTGCTCTTCTGCCAAAGAACCAGGATCCCAGAAAGAGTGGGACAAAGGGGATCCCACAGGCCCAGGGGTGTGGGGAACAAAGGGACCCCATACTCGTTCCTTGATGAAGGCTGCTTTGGGGAAGAGCGAGGCCTGGCGAGGGCAACCGTTCCTTTGGGGCCCCCATCGCGCAACCTCCTTGGAGCTCAACTCCAACATCTACTGACCTTGCACTTCGGCAGAACTCAGCATCCCCGGGGCCTCAACCCCTTATCCATCTGGGCTGTTCATCTGCACGGGGGGCAGTCAGCCCTCTCTTTCCTTAGGGCCCTGGCCCTCTATCTCCAGGCCCCGGAAATCTTCGTCCTCGCCCCAGCCGTGGTCCCCATTGTTGGATGAGTTGCCCACAGCCATCAATGAGACCAAGGGTTGGCCCCTGACCTCCCCTCCTAGCCTTGTGAGTTTTGGAGTCAGGCAGAGTGACCCCACGGTGCCAGCTGACCTCGTGGTGTCGCGGGCCTGGCCGCCATACGCCTGCCCACCGGGCCGCTTCCAAACACCCCAGCAGCACAACCTCTTAGGGCGTTCCAACGCGGCGCCCCCTGTTGGACCTCCCACTCATATCCGGTTTCCGGTCCGATGCCCCCTGCTCATTCGCCAGGCAGCCTTGATTGGCGTGACCCCAGCCCAATGGCTGACCCAGCGCAGGGGTCGGAGGGGAGCCAGTTGACTGTTGGGACCCAGGTGGCACATTGAGTGGATGCTCAAAAGGTGGAGCCGTTGCGCATGGGTGTAGTTGGCCAAAGTTTGGGCCAAAGTTCAGTGTTGACATTTGGAAGTGTGTAGACTCACAGATCCGAGGTGATGCACTTCTGGGGGGCCGCAGACGTTACCCAGGGTGGGCCTTTGTCAGCGTTCCTCCGCGCAGCGCGGCAACGCCGTACGGCAGGCGCAGGGGCCATGCTGCACTGTGGCTCTGGTCTTCTCGTTCTAAAAGGGAAGCATTAGGTTTAATCGGATTGGGAGTGGTTCGCCCGCCCGCAACTCGTCGATACCGCGATCCAGGCGGTGCGCCCCGCTTGCCGCAGCCCACCCTGTGTTACATCCATCCGTCATTCCATCCCCGTCTTCAGGCCAGGTGACCCACCTGTCCCCTTCCTTGCACCTAAAAGTGGCTCACAAGCCCGTGTCACCCGCCTGCAAGACAGACCTAATGACCATGTCCCGGGTTTTACGTGATCCGCAAGCAGCAAAATTTTCCGGGGGGCTCAAATCCCACTGTAGACCCCAGAGTTAGAGCAGTACGCGCACACGCACGGAGCCCACCCAGGCAGTATGGATATCTGTCCCCTCCCCCTCGGAGCCCACCACGCGCCACGCAGACAAGAGCGCAGCCGGCAGCCGCTGGGTCTGTGACCAGGCTTCATGCCGCCTCGGCGGGCGCTAGCAGTTGGAAGGTAAAGCGGCTACCTGGAAATGCCCGTAGCAAGAGGAGAGGGGCTGGAAGGTGCAGGAGAGGAGCCAGAGGAAGGAGCTGACGGACCACTCTGCAGCGGTGCCCGAGGCTGGAAGCAGCCCCTCGCGGCAGCCGTTTGCCAGCTCCGCTCGGCGCGGCACGGCACGGCACGCTGTGTGCCTTTGGGTTCGGTGCGCGCAGGATTGACCGGTCTAGGAAACCAACCTAGATCGGCCGTAAATCCCAACTGAAATCCCCTCTAACCCATCCTCATCGTAGTAGGACCCCCGGAACTCTGAGGCCTGCCCTCTGTGGGGTCCCCTTGCACATCCTGCGCCCCCCAACCCGGTTCCGTGCCGCCGCAGCTCCCGCTTAGAGGGTCTCCGTGGTAGGTGCCCGAGACCCTCTTATTCCCTGAATCATTTGTCCACATAAAAGGGGAAGAAACCGGCCCGTGCCACCCCCAGCTACTGTGGAGACCCCCAGAACGTGGTGGGGGTGGGAACATTGAAGTGATTTGCTAGCTTCGTCAAGCCAGCAAACAAACGCTGCAGCAGCCGTGGAAAGTACCCCAAGGCATTTTAAAAACAAACTGCGTGCGTCAACTCGGCATCCCTTGCCCCTCGCCTCTGACGGTGGGCTCATGACCACCTGTCGCATCCTCGCGCGTGCCTTCGCCCCCTTCCCATGTGCCCAAAGCCTTAAGCTCCAGACTTGGGGCTCGGGATCAAAGGCTGCTGAGAGCTGGGGGCTGTGACTCTTGTGTTCAGGGGTATTTTGGGGTGACGAAACCTTCATGCAGCCCCCCCTCCCCCAAGGAGAGTCAGTTGTGTCTGGGAGGGAGGCTTTCTGTTCCTACGCTCAAGCCGCCGAGGGCCCACGTCTTGCGTCACGTGTCCCACACGCAAGAGAGCGCTCTCTCTCTCTGGCCAGGGGAGAAGAGAGGAGAAAGACTCCAAATCAGGGAGAGGAGAGGAAGGAGCCAAAACGTCCCTGCGAGGCCTGCGCTCATCGCCCCCTTACCCAAAGTCCAGGGCTCCTGGCGACAGAAGCCAGCTCCTGCAGCCGCCTGGGCACCGGGCCGGCGTCCTCTGGTGGCAAAGAGAGAGCACTACGAGCGATTTTCGGACCGAATCGACACGCTCCTCAGATCCAAACAGGCGGGGCTGGCCTGGAGGAGAGACAGAGGCAGAGACAGAGATAGATGAGGGGACAAGGGCAGGTTAAGAGGGGCACAGGTGCAGCCTGAGGGGATAAAAAGTGGCCAGGAAGGAGCTAAGACTACACCAGCAACAACTGAGTTGCTTCTGCCATGGTCTAGGATTTGAGGCCCATAACCCCCAGACCTCACAAGGATTGGAAAGTGAGGTTGGAGAGCCTTCTAGCTGGTACTTCGATTTTTTTTTTTTTTGGAAAAGAATTTTTCGCCCTAGTTTGGTTGGGTGCTCCATCTTTTGGGGCCCCAAGTTTATTCTAAGAGTCGCCACCGTGTTATGGGCTTGCGCAACTGCCTCCACGGCAATAATATGTCAGGACAACGCCATATCCCCCTTGAAGTCGAGGAACAGCCCGAGCCACCATCTTTGGAGGCCCCAGGGGCAGCTGCCCCCAGTGCTGGGCCTAGCACAGCCAAAGAGATGGAGACCCAACCGCCTCACAGCGAGCCCATCCCCATCAAGATTGAAGGCAAGACCTGTGGACCCCCTGAGGTCTCCAGGCCCAAGCACCAGGGCCCAGGCGAGGCCGTCCACGAAGCCAAAGGCCTTGGAGGCTACAGCCCACCTCCTGAGGAAGCCATGCCCTTCGAGGTCAAGCAGCCCAGCGTGGGAGGCTTCTGGCCTACCCTGGAGCAGCCTGGAGCCATCAGTGGGGCCCATGCAGGCCTCGAGGCCTTCAGCCCAGTGCTCATGGAGCCTGGAGCCCTCAGTGAGGCCAAAGCAGGCTTGGGAAGCTACAGCCCTCCACCAGAAGAAGCTGTGCCCTATGAGTGTGAGCACCCTGCCCAGGGAGACGGCAGCCAACCTCTCTTGCAGGTCTCAGACCTCGCTCCAGGAGGCCTGGGTGTGGGGGTCTTTAGCGCCCCCCCAGTGGAGCCCCAAGCCCTCAGACCTGCAAACGCAGGCATCAGAGGAGGCTGCAGCCCTCCCCTTGAGGAGGCTATGCCATTTGAGTTTGATGGAGCAGCCTTTGGGGACAACAGCCCACCCCCTGGTCTCCCCGGAGCGAACCTACAAATCGACGACGGTGGCGGCAGCCAGTTCACGGCAGTCACGGTGCCGAGTGCGGTCCTCCTCACTCCCGCCGCGAGCGAGCCCCCCCTCTGGGTCCCAGACGCCATCGGCTGCTCATCCCGAGAGGCTGTCAGACCTCCTCCACACTTCGTGGGCGACAGCCCCCCGATGGAGATCTCCGGACCCCCGCTCGAGATTGGCAGCGCCCCCGTTGGGGTCGACGACGCTCCCGTCAACATGGACAGTCCCCCAATCGCGCTTGACAGCCCGCCCATCGAGGTCTCCGGAGCCCCAGTTAAGAGCGAGCGAGCAGAGGGAGAGAGACCCCCAGTTGAGGGCGAAGCAGCCGAGATGGAAGGAAGCTCAGCCGCCGCAGCCGCAGAGGGAGGCAAAGTCCCCTCTCCAGGAGATGGAGATCCTGCCGCCGGGGCCGCTCCTGCCGCCCCCGATGCTCCAGACACCGGGGCAACCACTGCCGCTCCAGCCGCTCCAGCCGCTCCAGCCGCTCCAGCAGCCCCTGCCGCTCCAGCCGCCGGGGCAGCCCCAGCCGCCTCTGATACTCCAGCTGCCGGGGCAGCCCCTGCCGCTCCTGCCGCTCCAGCCGCCCGAGCCGTTCCAGCCGCCCGAGCCGCTCCAGCCGCCCGAGCCGCTCCTGCCGCCGGAGCCGCTCCTGCCGCCCGAGCCGCTCCTGCCGCCCGAGCCGCTCCTGCCGCCCGGGCAGCCTCAGCCACTGGAGCCCGCCCCAAGCCCCGGCTCCTTAGACCCCCCAGCCCCGAGATCCAGGCTGCCGATCCGCCTACTCCGCCGCCTGCTCGCGCGTATGCCTGGCGGGGCAGGTTCGAGCGCGGCCGCGACGACGACGAAGGATCGGTCAGCAGCAGCGACGAATCCGACGATGGGACCTCCGGGTGCTCCAGCTGCTGGCAGCCCAGGCGCAGTCGCCGCCGCCGAAAGCCGCAGCGTAACTTGCTCCGCAACTTCCTCATGCAGGCCTTCGGGGGCTGCTTCGGCCGATCTGAGAGCGCCGAGCCCAGAGCCCCGCACAGCCCCAAGGCCAAGAAGGTTCCTCTGGCGGAGAAGCGCAGGCAGATGCGCAAGGAAGCCCTGGAGCTGCGCGCCCAGAAGCGCGCCCAGAAGAAACGCAGCAAGCTCATCGACAAGCAGCTACAGGATGAGAAGATGGGTTACATGTGTACACACCGCCTGCTGCTTCTAGGTAATGCGGCGGACTCTGCCCGTGGGGAGCAGAGCCGCCGGGGACCCGGAGGGGGAGGCAGGGCTGCCCTGTGGGGCTCGGGGCTGGAGGCGGGAGGCGGGTGTCTGGGCAAAGGCCGGGGGAGCCTGCGAGGAAGTTCCAGCGAGGGCCCTAACTTTGCCCTGGGCGTGGGAGGGGGTCTCGGGTGGGCTTGGGTGGCCGGAGTATATGCCCTCCAGGGAGAAAAGTGGTGGCTACAACACTGAGGGTCGTTTCCAGCTGGACAAACCAGCGCCAGCGACCGTAGGACGACACCGAGTCCTGGGGTGGGGGACGGCAAGAAAGGCGGGGGCCTCAGGTGAGCCAGGAACTGCTGGGGAGGGGCCTCGGGGTTCCCCCCAGCTGAGCTGGTTGGGGCCACGGTGGGATGGGGTCGTGGGGGAAGGTGCGCCCCCCGCCTCGCCTGGCACGGCTGCTTGGACTCAGACAGCTTGTCGTTGGTGTGTGTTGGTGTCCATATTGTGTCCGCCTGTGCATGATATGCTCAAGTGTCCCCCAGTTTCCATCCCTGGCACCCCAAATTACCCGCCGACTGTGTACTTGTACCGGGGAATGGGCTGTCTTGTGTTGTGCGCCATGGGGCGGGCCAAAACTTTCGGTGTTCGCACACACTGGTGGTACCTGTGAGCTGGCGCTCTGCAGCGGGCGGCGCGGACAATGCGGAGACAAGGTGGTGGGACATCTTGGGTAATGTGCTGGGCTCCTGGCTCGCGGGAGAGGGGCCGTCTCCCGTTGGCCTCCATAACCTTTTTTTCCCCTGTATGTCTTTCTCTCTTTTTTCTCTTTGCGCTAAGCGTTTCCTCACTTCTCATTCGTTCGCCAAACCCTCCCGCCTTTACGGTTGAAAAACCAGACACTCAGGTATCTGGGGCGTCAGGGGCTGCACACATGACTTCGGTATTCTGCACACACTCGGCTCACCTGGCGGCGGGGATGGCGGGATGCGGGAGGGAAAACCACGCAAACCTGCTCTAGGCAAGTCTGGACCCAAACCACACCGGGCTGGTTCCGAGGGGGTGGGCGTGGCTGTGTTTTAAAAATATGAAATAATTTTTTTTCCTAGGGACGCGCCGAGGTAAGCCAATCATTCACACGTTCACACTAGCGCGGTAGGAGGGGCCTGGTTTAAAAAGGGGGGGCTGTGCATTGGGAGTGGACGGCCGTCCTGTGTTTGAAATGCAAGTAAAATAAAACTTAAAAAAAATATTCCGAGTGTATTTTAAGTGTGCACGAAATGTGGTCAAACTGATTCTAACTTGTAAAATATGTGAATGTCTGCCTGTGACTCTTTTCACGCAGCTTTAGCTGGGGGCAAAAGGGCTCACAGGTAAGATCCTCCGCAAATGGGCTGGGGGTAAAAAAAAAAAAAATTAATTTAAAAGGTCTTGTGTTAATAATCATATTAGAAAGGTACCTTTGGGGGCCCTCTGCCTGCCCCTTCCCCTTTGCAGCCGCCCCCAACAAGACCTCTCCCCTATTTTCGAGAGCTTCCCTGGCCCCTCCCAGTCTCCACCCCCTTTGCCTCCTCAAGACTCCTTAGCTCAAATCTGGGGTGTTGACTCTTCTGCCACAGTTCGTCAGCGCTGTAATTAGCAGTGGTCAGAAGGTGTGGCTTAAATGAAAACTTCACAAGTGAAACTCCACAATCTTAACTTCTTTATTTTATCCTCTAAGACCTTTCAAGGGATTTGAAGATCACGTCTAAGGCTTTGCTAAATGTTTGCTCTGTGCTTCATACTGTGCGATGGTTTCAGTCCGTGACAGAACCGTATGCTGTTGTGATGTGTGTCTCTCACAAATCACAGTTTTAAACGTGATGGTCATTTATGCCCACGCAGGGAGATGAGGATATCATCATGTTCCCAAAAACATACAGAAGGGAGATAGTTTCAGTTTTCGAGGTCCCCACTGCACCGAAGCCACAGAGCCTCCAAGGACAAAGCTTTCCTGCCTCTGTTCTGTCTCCCAGTCATGGCTGTGGGAAGCAACCCTGGGGTGGGGAGGGGGGAGGGGACACTGGTGAAGTGAAGACTCTAGTGACAGTGTGGGCATGGCCCCTAATGGCAGTGTCCCTTCAGTTGCCTCACTTGTGAAGTGAAGCCTTCCCAGCAGGTCTCCCCCAAAGTCCCCTTTGCCCCATGTCTTGAGTGCTCTATTGATGGGGGGGCTCAGCTCTCAAACCAGCACTGGAGGGTTGCACCATAAACTATGCAAACATCAGCCCTGCAGCAAACTGTCTGTGTCTGGGGGAGTCTTAGGGATGTTAGAAGCTCCCCTTGTTTTGTATTGGGGGAGCGGTTAACTTAATAAAAGAAAATTTGCCATTGTCCTGGCTCTGCTCCCAGGGCAGTGGTCCACGAGACAAAACGTCAGGCCACGTGTACCACGAACCTGACTTCAGATAGCCAGGCTTACAATTTCTGACCAGGTTTCATTTTGCCCAGGTGCCAAGAGAGGTACCCCATCTGGGTCTGGGGAGGGGAAGATTAGGAAGGATGAGGTCTTCTATTTAGAATAACCTTACTATAACATTCTAGTCCTAACATGCAGACAAGACATCCATCTTCCTACCACTGAAAATGCAGGCCAAATGACCATCCTTTGATGTGCTCTGAATTTGTGACATGCAGACTCATCTGTGGCTTTAAAAATGTATGTGTGCATTTGTGTATATATGCCGTCTCTGTTTTTATTGCTCAAACAGGTTAACATTACAGGGAGTTTTAAAATTACAGTTGACATACAGTATTATGTTAGTTCCAGGAATACAACATAGTGATTAGACACCTATGATCCTTATGAAGTGACCACCACAAGTCTAGTAACCACCTGTCATCATACCAAGTTATTATGGTAGTATTACTGTGACCCCTGCTGTATTCAGGGAATCTCAAAAGGGAAAAGATAGATACATAGATAGAATCAATAACATGACTAGAATTCTAGAATACCTAAAGAGTTCAAACCTTTTTCTCATTCAACACTCTCCAATAATAGACTGTTTCCCATGTTTCTGTTGCCCTTTTGGATAACTTTGGTGGCTTAAACATTTTTAGAAACCTAATTTGGGTATAAGGCCCTCAAGTCTTAAGAAGCAAAGGGGCCGCTAGATTCAAATTTCTTAGTAGCTGCTGCATTTGTTGTGGAGAGAATCGCTCTGGGTAGCAATGGCCGTTCTGCCATGACACTGTATTTATACAGCGTGTCTCGATTAATCATGCCAGCACTTATTTATGCCACCAGGGGCAACAGTGTTGCACTGCAGACATCTTGCAGGGATGCCTCCCCCCACCCCAGTACACCCATTTTCCCGCATTCAGAATGCTTCCGCTGAGCTGTTTGGCGCAGGGTGACCAGGCCACAGCAGTTGTAGAATTAAGAGAGACTTTCATCATTTCCTTTCACTCTCTACCTTATAGTATGTTGTGCTTCTCAAAGGCCCAAGTTCTGTCTTTTAAAATCCAATTTCCTTTAGATTTCTCTCTCAAAAAAAAATTTTTTTTTTCTATACAGGTAGATTAAATTTGATAATTTATCCACATTATATATACCATGGAAAACTGAGATGGAGCCATTCTGTACATGACCTCCTGACCTGGAAGAAGGGCATATACAAAGGCCCTTGCGTTACTAGTAACCAGTCACAGTAATGATTCCACATAATGGTAACACAGTCTTAGTGTGTTTTTATTTATTTATTTTTTTTATTTTTTATTTTTTTGATACAGCGCCCCTAGTGGGAACCGAACCTGGGACTCTGGTCCGCAGGCCGACGCTCCAACCGCTGAGCCAAACCGGCCAGGGCCTCAGTGTGTTTTTAAAAGCCTTTCATGGAGTCACATTTGTCCTTTGAAACAGCCTTGGGCAATAAAAACACGCTAGGACCCCATCTCATAGGCAAATCAGAGACGAAATGTCAGGGACTTGCGCTCAAAGACGGCAAGGTAAGTGAAGGAACCCACGCTCACCCGGAAACGCGACAGTACGCTGTCTTGCATCCTTTAAATGTGAAGCATGACTGTTGTGAGTTTGCTGTGTGCTCTTAAAATCCCTTGTCAGACGACAGGTGACCAGTCATCTTCTGCTCTCAGATTTACAGTCACCTCCTGGCTGGTTGGGTCATAAATGTCCGTCGAGGCCGCACGAGACGCGAACTGGCCATTTCTGAGGCCCCTGCCCCTGCGTATTGTCCCCACTGCTTGCTTTGGCTCACCAGCCAACACTGCAGTCTTAGCTTGGTTATTGGGCTTTTTTTCTTTGCTTTGCTTTTAAATGTAGGTTTTCTGTTGAGTCTTTTTAAAATCCCCCTGTGGGTTTTTTTCAGGATCTACAGCTTTCCTACTGACTCGGGTTTCCACTAAAAATAATAATAATTTTCAAATGCGGTTGTTTTTATGCATTCTTCCCTACATTTTTAGTGTTCTGGTGTAATAGACTATTTACAGGTCCGCCTTGGAGCTAATGACCCTATTAAAATAACCGTTGCTCAGAACCCTTCAGAGCGACTTTTTTAGGAAAGTATTTCTTCCTTCAGTCCGGGCTAATTCCTGCTCAGTGCGCATCAGAGCCTGCTCTTGGAAATCACCTCTGAGTTTACTGCAGGAAGGTTGGTACTAAGCAAAAAAAAAAAAAAAAAAAAAATGAATTTCTTTTCAGGAAGAGAACCTGATTGGCCAGATTGGAAATTCCCCACTCCAGCCTTGCCTCTTCTCTTTGGAGCTGGCTTCTCCACCAGATAAAGCAGGCCCCTCACCCCCAGAAAAACCGCCTGAAGTCACCTTTAGGAGGCCTGGAAGCAGCCAGTGAAAGTGGGGTTCTTCCCAAACCCACCCCGTGGCTCCTGGGTTCCCAGTGGAATGTGAGGTGTCCATTTTTAAATCAGATTTCTCAGGAGGAGCAGCAGTTTGCAAAACACAGGACAGGGTCAGTTGATACACAGGGTCCCCACCATCCACGGGAGCAGAGGAGCAGGGAGCTGAATGCATTCGTCAGCCCAGTGACCCTCTCCAGCCCCAGGGACCCTGGTCATAGTGACTCTGAGGCTCTGGCCCTGCTGACACCCACCTGAACGGATTTCACTGCATTAGATTAAAGGGCTTTGTCCTACCAGAGTCCTGTTCTGGCCTGCGGGCACCCTGGGCACGAGATCTTGGTCTTTTCTGTGGGAGTCCTGTTGGAGATGCATAGTCCTAAGGGGCTGTTAGAAAAGTCAGGAAGAGGAGGGAGAAGCCCCAGCTACCACGGGCCAGGCAGCCTCTGGACACGGGAGGGGGATTTCCAGAAGAATCAAGAGGAGAC